GGGGGGGGGGGGGGCAGCTGCCCCCCTGCCCCCCGGAGGCTACGGCCCTGGATACATGTATCTCGAGGATAATGTGCACCAGAACAGCCCCAAATGATTGATGAACTAAGGGTAGCAACCACAGCAAAAATCAGAAGAATCTGTTGGGAGTAATTGCCAACTTTGCCCGACGTATGCATCTGTGTCACCAATGCCGCGAGACCATTTGAATCATGATATTATTCAAAGAATATCACTTTTATGTTAAGCAACCAAGTTAACTGAAACTGAAACTTATAACTTATAAACATATGTATTCTAAAACTAAAAATCAGACCAACCTTTAAAGTTTGATAGATGGACCTTTGAAGCTTAATAAACCATAACTTTTATCTAAAGCAACCAAGATAACTGGAAGTCTAGGGAATGCTATTTCATATATTAAACTTATATCGAGCAAATTGTTTACAATTTGATAATTCTTTGTAGGATTTAATAGAACTGTTATGGGTTACCCTGTATGATATGTCAGAGATTAAAAATTAGTTTTGTGTTATGAGTAACAACAAGACAACATGCCATGTTTTGCAGTATTTTTTTTCTGATTTTGCAGTTGCATTCTCCTATAGAGATGGACAGCATTATTGAAGGAAACCAACATTTGCAAGACATCGAGACCCTCGTTCAACAAGGGGAGTACACCGCCGCTTTATTGGCAATGAAGGAGGACGTGGAGTCCACATCTAACAAAATACTGTACAATTTTTACAACAAAACCTGCATGACCTTGGATAGTTCCAACCCGACAGACAAAGTCATCTTAAAATCATTGGCATACCAGGCATTGGGTGTGGTTTATAGTGAAACCCTAAAGCACAGAGAGAAGGCAAAGGCATTGCCTTTTTACATAACAGCAAAGGATAGCCTGGGGGAAGGCGGGGAGCGACAAGCGAAACTTCTGTTAAAAAATGATAATGTGACAGACGCTTTAATGAACCTTTTCGAGACCATTGCCTGGTGTTACAGTGTGAAATACGACTTCAAAAACCAACATGATTATCTGAAAGGGGCTTTAAACATAGCAGAGATAAGGGGATTGAAAGAAAAAGCAGCATGCTTGCTTATGCAGTTGGGTCGCTCTTGCATCGATTGGAAGGTCTTTTTGAGAGCGTCTGACTATATATACAAAGCCAACGCTTTGGCCGAACAACTTGACAGGAAAGACATTGTTGCAACGTGTTTGCTCTTAATGCAAGATGTCCGTGTTTCAGATCCATACAACTATGCGGATTGGGAGGTGCTGGAGAAAGCGCTGCAAATAGCCCAAGGCCTGGGGGACAAGTTCTTGCTAGCCAAAACTCATATTTATATGGCCAATCATCGCCGTTATGTCGACTCATTCCAGATTTCTTTTGATCACGCCACCCAAGCGTTAAAAATCGCGGAATCCCTCGATGAAAATGACTACGATTCTCAAGAAATACTGAGTTTGTGTCTGACTTGCATGAGCAAAACTTACATACTGATTGGAAACAATGAAAGGGCACTGCGTTTTCTTGAACAAAACCGACGCGTTTTGCAGAACTTAGGAGACCGCGTTCGTCTTGGTGATGTGAAAATGGAAATAGCTTACTTTACACTTAAGGAGGCACGTTCTAAATCCGAAAGTGACCCTCTATTATTTCAGCAAGCTGTAAAATGCTGCGAAGACGCAATAGATATTGCTGATGAAATAAAAGACAAGGACCGTTTATGCAAAACAAAATACACATATGCTCTTCTTCAGAACGCCAGTTCGCATTTTAAACGGACGATTAAATTGGCCCGGGAGGCTAAAAACCTGCTTATTGAGTGTTTATGTCATCAACGAATTGTGAGGATTTGCACGAAGCATGGGAGATTTCTTGAGGCTCAAAGACACGCTTCGGCATGTCGGGAGATGGCTCATGACTTAAGTACAGAACTGGAACAAATTTACTTCACCCTGCAGGGCTCCTTGTACAAGGAGCAAGGTTTGCTAGAGAAAGCCAGTGGAGAATACGGAAAGGCAATTATAGTGGCATCTCATGTTCGAGAAAGAAAGTTGAATGACGATGACAACAAAATAGAATACTTCGAGTCGGCGATAGAGTGCTTCACTGGTCAACAGGAAATTTATATACAGCAACAAAAATACACCGAGGCTCTGTCAGTGGCTGAGCAATGTCGAGCCCGGTCAATGCTAGATATCATGTACGCCAGACGTCCTAAGACAGATATCACAAATCATATAAGAGGTCCAGAAGCAATCCACCGGGTTGTAAACACTGCCAACGTACCCGTGGTGGTATTTGCCTTAATCAACGACAAACTATTCGCCTGGGTCATCCGACCGCAGCAAGATGACGTCACGTTTCTTGACTATGACGTCACGTGCCCGGACACTAAGGTCACGGGGCTCTTAAGTGAGCTGTCCGTGCTGCGGTCACTCTCTCCACCATCCCCAGCTGGGATTCAGACCATCCCTAGTGTAAACTGGAGAATGGGCGGTTGGAAAGGTCGTACTCGAAATAACTTGGACAGCGTGCTCGATTCTTCTAGCACCCATGACGTCACTCTTATGTCCAAAGGCAATGGTTTGAAGAAAGTGTTTCAAAGGTGGTATGACGGCATCCTTGTTCCCGTGTTAAATGTGCTGAAAAAAGATGGCGGTCGATACAGCAACATCGTCATCATACCCGACCTTCAGCTGCATTTGGTGCCTTTCCCAGCTCTCCTCATCAATGATTACTGCGCCACCGTTATGCCATCGTTGGAGATTTTAGCCCACTCCCTTCGAGAAGACTCATCTTCTAGTGAAGAGAACACACAGCCCAGGGCACTAGTTGTGGGTAATCCTTCTGGCCCAGAAATCGACATTTGCGGACAAAAATGGACACCGTGCAAGTTACCAGGTGCCGAAGATGAAGCGATTCTTATCGCGGGAATGTTAGGCACGGAACCTCTTCTCCGAGACCGCGCACGACTTAGCGTTGTAAAAAAGGAACTACCTCGTGCTGACGTCATCCACGTGGCCTGTCATGGCAGCTGGTCAGAGACAGCCTTGGTTTTGTCTCCCGACGGGTCGCCAGAAGACGGGACCTTATCCAGCAAAGATGTCTACTTGACTGCAGAGGAGGTGATGGAGATGAAACTACGAGCTAAAATTGTTGTTCTCAGTGCCTGCCACAGCGGAAGTGGGGAGATAAAAAACGAGGGCGTGGTAGGACTGTCCAGGGCATTTCTAGTAGCAGGTGCGCTACAACATCTTTATTTAAGTTTTCAAAGAGTAACGTTTACTTTTTTACTATGTACATATTACTATTATTTAATCACTTTTTTATAGTTTTTAAGAAACAGACAAAATCTTGGCGTAAGTACTCTCATAACCTGTTCGCATACTAATTATAGAACAATCCTTTCTAGGCCTAGGGAAGTGATAAACTGAATTTTAAGAAAACATGAAAATGTACATTGTATTTGTAGGAGCCAAGGCGGTGGTAGTGGCACTATGGCAACTGCCGGACCAGGCGACCAAAGCCTTTATGACCAGCTTTTATCAAGATCTTATCGCGAGAAAAACAGTCAGCCGCGCACTCAGGAATGCCATGCAAACCATGCAAGATCGGCCTCGCACCGAATGGGCGTCTTTCACAATAGTTGGTCGTGACGTCAGTCTGTGATTGTAATTTTATTGACGTCAAAAACGGACACGTCACACAGACTGATTCATATTCAAAGAAATAAACCAAGAGGAAACTGTATTGTGACGTGTGTAAAACATCATATTTTGTTACTGGCTGCAATTCAATATACATGTTTATAGTTTAATACCGTTATAAGCTTTCCCTTTTACGAACTTCTTATTCGACCTAATAGGATCTAATAGGCACCCTGAAACGAAACGAACTGATGACTAAAGAAACGCCAAATTAAATTCTTAATGTCAATCAGTGCTACACTCCCCTCAATCATCATTAACTATCAAATATAATTAGTTGGGAACCTCGGCACAAATATTAACTTTACAACACTGCAGTAGTGATAACAAGGTTATAAAATTAAAAAAAACTTATAATTACTAATATTAATACTAATTACTACAAATAATTAATGTGCCTTGGAAGCCAGAATAATTTTCAAAAGGAAAAAGGTTTTAATAAAATCTTCAAATAAATTCTTTTTTTGGTCACGCTATTCGTAGCCACAGCCGTATATAAACAAAGAATAATATGCTTTGTTCTATTCAGGTATATATTAAATCTGAATATTTTTGTGCACACACGTGTGGTACATACACGTAGGGCATAACCCCTCCCCCACCCTCCACCACCCCCACCCTCCCACCGCCTACTGTTTGCAGACATCTGACAACGATGATAAAATGGACGACCCCTTAAAAACAATCTCAAAGAACATAACCTATTTGTAACTCTCTGCCTCTAATGGATGACCCCTTCTTTACGAACTACCTCACAGAACATAACCTAACTGTTGCCTTCCCTGTTATATACCAAAATTGGTATGAAGCAACCGTGAGCCAAGGAATGCTGGATGGCGCCCGTTTGATGTGCAAATGGAAAGTACCAGTAACCACCTCGAGGAATACTGTTAAACAATAAACTTTGTATTTGAATGCAATCTTTATTTTGCCTTACTTTTACAGGGTTTACAACTCGGATTTCTATGCTCTGCCATTTTAATGAGGATGTTCTATTCCATTTGTTTATATCCCGATTTATCCCGGGGTGCCACTATATTAAATCATTCCACTTTGGTGCCTAGCTCCAAGATGAGACTTTATTTTAGAGCTGTTCACTGGCGTTGTTATTTTGTTTTAACTGCTGAATTGACATGGCACGATGTTGTTCATTTTATATGGTTTCTGTTTCGTAACAAGAATCACTGCAACTGTTGTGTGACGCACGCCGAGACGAACGCGATCTGGACAACCCGACACGAAAAATGTCCAGTATTTAACTGGACTACATCAGCAAGGTGTCAGTACACCGAGCCATAGTCTCTTGGGTTACCACTTTTCCAATGAAAATGTTCAAGTACATGAAGATTTCGCTGGTATTTCTCGGCTACTGCAATTCAGTTTGTCAGAGGTTTCAGTCATTTTGCAAAATAAAAAATTGCACATCTTCCCATCGTTTATCTAAAGATCTAATAATCTGCAGATTCAGAGATTTACCAAAGCCAAAGGCAGGGAAAACGATCTTCAATGCACGAATTTGTCCTCACTTGTTTTGGACCACTAGTAGGACCCACTAAACCACCGAGTTTTGAACTCATCCATTTTTGTCATCATTTTCACAAGTCTAAAAAGAGTGGACTTTTTCCAGACCCTCCCCCCCCCCCCCCCACCTTCATAGAGAACAAGGTGGGCAGTAAAAAACAATGACCTTTGAGAGCAATTTGTATCATCCTTTTTGTCAAAAGTGCACAGAGGGAGTCTCGTCTCTGTGCACTTTTGACAAAAAGGATGCCCCAAGACGAGACTTTATTTTAGAGCTGTCCATTGGCGTTTTTAATTTGTTTTGACTGCTGAAATGGCATGCCACTATGTTGTTCATTAAATATGGTTTCTGTTCAAAACAATTTCACAAGAATCACTGCAACTGTTGTGTGACGCACGCCGAGACGCACGCGATCTCGACAACCCGACACGAAAAATGTCCAGTATTTAACTGGACTGCAGCAGCAAGGTGTCAGTACATCGAGCCGTAGTCTCTTGGGCTACCACTTTTCCAATGAAAATGTACAAGTACATGAAGATTTTTTCGCTGGTATTTCTCTGCTACTGTATCCTGCCCTGTGACTGTGTCGTGGACAGCAGTCGGTTGAAGACAGAGGACGGGCTCTCTCTGGGCGGAGGAGAAGACTGGTCGTCCATGCCAGGCTCTAACCCGCCTGGTAACCGGTGGTTATATGGCAGCAAGATGTCCATGATGTCCTGGTACCGCTTCATTATCCACTGTTCCACAGACCTACTGTGCTGTTTGTTTGAAGACTGCTGCTATGACGTGGCCCAGCACTGTGCCAGCAGTCAGAACAGTGGTGTATTGGCCGCTCCACCCCTGGGTCTGCCCCCAGGGAATGGCAGTGGTCAGATGGCACAGGGCAGCTCTGGTCGGGACACGGGTGGCGACATCTCAGAGGTAGAGCATATTGTACAGCATGCTGGCTTCATGACATGCACACCAATTCAGAAGAATGCTGATTTCACAGTTGGTCGTTCGTCAAGTTTGCCGAGAATATCCCAGGCCTCCTGGCACCACGTGTACCCCGTCTGGACGCTGGCCCAGTGCCCGGACGCCTGGCAGGACAGCGACGCCAGGCAGCAATGTGTCAACGCTACGAGGGCAGACTTTGAGACCTTCCTCCCCGTCACGGACGCCAATGGTGTGACGTACGCTAACAAGTACTGCGCGCTGTGTCACGGGGTCAGCGACAGCGTTCAGTGGCACGTGCAGGTGGAGTGCATGCTGACACCCGTGGAAGAGTTCCTGAATTGTACGTCGTGGCAATGCATCCTAGAAATGGTTCTCCTGAAGTATGATTGCTATGCGACGTTAAAACCGAGCCGTTACCCTAATAGGCCGAGGTTCTGTTTCCCTCCAGTGAACGCTGTTGACGTAGAGCCCTGCGATTTTGAACTGGTGAACAACACGCTGCACGAGACGTCCAGTCTGCGTGGCTCCGACGTGCAGTCCTCTCTGCGTGACACGTGTCTCTCTTACACAGCGGTGACACAGACGAGTCTTTACAAAAGTATCCAGGTTTTTAAGAACTACCATTGCATGCTGTGTTATGCCGGGATAATGTACCAAGAAGGTAGGTGGGTTTTAATATCTCTAATATTACATGTACCAGGACATGCTGGCGCTCTGTGCCAGAACACGGATACATGTATGTAAACCCATTGCTTCTTGTTAGATGTACTTGAGATACTTTTTATCACTCTAACGTACATAGAAAAAAGTATTGGGAAACTTTGGTTAATTTTCTTTAACCGATGTCTTTCATACACTGGTTACAACAATAAGCCCACTGATCGGGAAAATTTATTTTTATTTAAGTTTCAAGCCGTTACACTCCTACGAAATGAAAAGATTCATTCAGCAAATAGCAAAGAAAATAACTTATACATAAGGCATATAAAATATACAATATCGGGGTTCCCTTACCCTGTATTAGTCTCTTAGTTGTCTCATAACTTTAAAGAAGTAGTAAGAGTTGAAAAAAAAAAGACTGTGTGAGAAGGGGGCCTACTGTAGATGGATAAAATCTAAGAATAATTTATACATGTGCTAGAATACACAAATGTAGTTTTGGTTGAAATACTTTTGTTATGGAGTTATGAGCCCCTTATTACAGATTTCCATTAAGCAAAGGACACACGAGACTAGTAGAAGTGTTTTTTATGCGTTACCATTGCCTCATGTAACTTAAAATGTTCATATTTTGTGGGCTCCATTAAATTTGGTGGTCATATTAGGATTTTGATAAGCATCCCTATGGTATCGTTGTCCAGAGGTGAACTTTTAATGGCGGCTCTTGATATTGTTGCTAAGTTACGTTAGAGATATCAGGGCCTGTCCCTGTTTTCTGAGTCATCGCCATGAGTTAAGTTACTAAATATTTAAGATTTTGTTTTCGTAAAACGGTGGCCATTAACTGCAGGGGTTTAATATCCTACTAAATAACGGGTCAACTGGAAGGAAAACTAAATAAAATGAAAACCTGAATTGTAATTGCTGCCATTATAAATCTACATGTACTCTGGATCGAACCCGTAGGCCTACATACCCCTAAGTTCTTTACTGAGGATCACAACTTTATTTCAGGTTCGTACCCGTCACTTATCAGAGAGTACATCCCCCCCCCCCCCCAAGTTTAAGTTATTTACTGAGGATCACAAATTTATTTCAGGATCGTACCCGTCACTTATCAGGGAGTTCACACCCCCAAGTTTTAGTTCTTTACTGAGGATCAGCGACGACAGCGCAGATTGGAACGTGGACAAGGTGAGTATAGGTACAGCGCATGCGTGAACGTCGCCAAGCCGTCTAGTGTATGCTAGCCTACATGACGTCACTCTTAAAATGAAATTTCTTGCGTTCGCTTATATGTCTAACCCGTAAATGCGCCAAGAATTAAAATTCAAGGTAACCATATAGGCCTACGTATGACATATAGTTATCTACAAATATGATTTTATGAAAACGTACTTTTCTCGGGATTTTAGGCCACCCAGCCCTGCCCAGTAGGCTACAAGTCAGTTGGTGGAGAGTGCAGCCCGATTTTACACGCTTTTAAGCACGTGTTCTATCAAATGAAGTTTGTCTTTGCACCTGATGGCTGGAACCTGACTGAACGCCCAGTCATTAATATTTGTGGCAAAATTGATACCGGTATAGGGCATATGGCTATTGCTTTCAACCTTTCGCTGATGGAGCGCTACGACTGCAGTGTGCAGATGGCAGAAAAGGGATCGACTCTCAGCATCGTGTATGTGGCAAGGATTTCCAGGAATTCTCCCAGTGTCTCCTACATCGAGGGTTGGAAACAGATGGTATGTCTGCTGCCATCCATGGACAGGTTTCTGGAAAAGCGTCCCATCAAGTTGGCTGAGGGATCTCTGCGTCTGATGGCCAGACCGCGTGCTGCCGACATGTGTGGCAATAGCGGCAATAAGACTCGGTCCACTGAAGTCCTAGACGGCGCCACACACACCACGACGGCGTCCTCTTCTGTGTCTCCCGCTGTCCCCATTTATATCACACTTTACGCCCAGGTTGCGTTTTTGGCTTTAAGCTTTCCCGTCATGTGATTAAAATACAGGGTAGAAACCCACAAACTGAATATTGATCAGCGCGGAGAGGAGGTATATATGAAATATATAATACAGTTGTAAAGTAAATGACGTACACTTTCACTAATTGCACGTAATAATTAAAGAAGAATCAAACGAGTGAAAGGATAGGGAGTTATTGAGTGTAAGTTAAATTTATTTAAGAGTCAACAAGAGTAAAATTTGTCTTCGTGGTAGGAAAAATGGAACATATCAAAGTCACATATAGTTCGATTTGACTGGTTAATTTCTCAATAGATTTGCAAGTTTCTTACACGTGAAAATTACTTGCAAACTAGGGATGATAAATATGGTCCAAGCATGAGTAATCCATGTAAAATTTAAAATAAATTAAAAACAAGTATCTTATAAATTACGTAATAAGGAAATGTTGAATGGTGGTTTGCAACATGAGAATGGAAAATTCCTTGTAATCACGCAAAGACAATGGAAGGAAAACAACTAAATGCATGATCAGAATGATGAAATTGCGTATAAATACTTGTGAATTTGTATGAAAAGAGAGTCGGTGAATAATTGTTCGAAAGCTCCAAACCGTCGTTATTTGTCGCTATAACAATACGTACGTATTGGTACTGGATCTGTGAACAAGACACCATATTTTTTAGCCGTGCAAAGTGCCTGCAGTGAATTTTCATATCAAATATGGTTGTCGTTTTCCACGAAATTTCTTGCATTGGCGCTCCGTTTTTACGTTTTCGGTTATGCATTAGGACCTATGTGTGCGACCATAGAACCGTCCCTATACCTAGATCGATCTAGCAAGATCGCTCCATCTCCGAGGGTATTTACGCTAAATTGCATTCAGCTTAAGTGGCTTAGATGTCTGGCACGCCTACTGAAACTGCTAAATGATAGTTAATTACCCTTTAACAGCTTCAGTAGGCGTGCCAGACATCAGCGCCACTTAGACTGAATGCAATTTAGCAAGAAACCCCTCAGAGATGGGCTGATCCTGCTAGATTGATCTAGGTATGGGAACGGGGTCATATGCTGTATATATAACAGCTCTGTGTGGTTTCACAGCGTCTCCGTTATTTAAGGGGATTTTCTTGCTTGGGGAAATGGTCTCTCCAACCTCCAGTCTGACTAATCAAACCAGCGCAGTGCCCTTTACTAAAAAAGAACTTGTAATGCCAGTTTCTTTATACAAATAATTTTACAAGACACATACGCTTTTATCTTCTCACAGCATCTTCGTGAGCATATGTTCTTTCCTGTTTTGCGAGATCTCAAAAGGTGGTGCTGAAGTTAGTGTACACATGTAGTGTGTAGTTTACAGGTTCTTAATTTTTTTTTTCACAAACGAACCTGGAGGCTACGGCTGAAAACTGACACTAGGCCAAGCTAACTTCAACGCTGCATCTTGGGTAGTGTGAACTTGTTTATATCTGACACCAACATGGGCCTGTTCTCGCTGTAAGTCAAGCAGGTTCTAACAAACACAAACACAGATGTTATCAATGCATAAATTTAACTTCGTTGTTTTTTCTTTATTATGAATGTGTGAAAATTAAACATGGGAGGCGGAGCAGTTGTTTTCTGGCCCCCATCCTCTCATTTATATCCCGGACCTGTCACAGATAACGCCACTTTGTTGACACTTTGTTGACGTGATATTTTGTCACTGAAGCAGGTTAACCTATAGCTGGCTGCTGTTCACCTAAATCCTGTTTACAGATGTGACGTATTACATGTATTCGACCTAACCTTTGAGCCATGAGTGTAACGTACCTATCGCCATAACTACCTACAGCTGATTTCAGTCACATATACTGTAAGTGTCCAAGAATCAGGTGTCCGTATTTATCCTCTGTATACCTAAATCCTGATGGCGGTTTTCCTGTGCAAATTTCTGCTTAAGAAGGATTGTTTAGTTTACTACACAGCTAAATCATGATATCAAGTGGATCGGTGGGATGACGATGAGGACACATTAACTGTGGGGGTGAGATAGACGCACCTGCACTCTCCGCGCCGGCATTTTGGTTCGCAAAACGACCCGACGGCGTAAAAACAATTGCCACACAGAGCTTCAGTCTGTCTTTATGTAAGATTGTCTAAGTACTCCATATATAACCCCTGTATATAGGACAGGTATATGCATTTGCTCTGAACACGCAGACTGCCTGGACCATTCAGCTCATTGTATTTAAGCTGTACTGTAAGCCTAATGGAGTACGACGAAGTCTTGGAGCACGTTGGTCCGTATGGACGCCACCAGATGTTGGCATGGTTCCTGGTCACTGTTCTCTCCAACTGGCCCTTTGCATGGCAGACGTTCAGCATGAACTTCTTGGGCTACGAGCCGGAACACAGGTGCAGGGTAAGTCTAAATGATTCTCCTCCTGAACCGCCTTTACTCACCGACTTCGGGGGGAGGGCCGGGGTTTGAGGGTCTTCCCATATGTATCTATACGAGTATGTACACGTATAGATACATATGAATCTATACGTGCATGTGTGTAAGCGTGTGTATAAACATGTTTGTGTGCCAAATAATGCATTCATATATGCAGTATGTAAGTAGATATGCCTTTACATCATGCCTATTAAAATTTTAATTAGTTGGCCTTCAGTATGCTGGGTACATCATATAGGTTATATAGGTGCCTTATATAGCTTTGTACACATAGGCCTAGCAGTCATAAACATCAATTTGCTCTTATTATCTTTTGTTTCAATATAGATGAAACACATTAATATGAATTCATAAATCATGTATAATGTGCCCGTACCCAGCTAGCCCGCATCGTCAGTCGACAGACATAGGGAAATGTCAATGTAGATCACGATCTCTCAGTTGTAGCGGCGTTAAGATGAATGCAGGCAAAAATGATGAAAATTTTTCTTGGTCAAACGTCCATTGTGGTAGTCACAGAGCATATGGGTAACATAGAGGAGGAAGCCATCTAACGTCTTCTTTTTAATTTAAAATGAATATAATTTCTGTGAGAACTGATCTAGACGCGGCTATTTTTCTCGATATATGTCTTCTATGTCCACTAAAGTCCATCAGCCTAGTTACCGTTACTTGTATCTTTTAAGAGCTAAAATTAATACGGAATGTTTTAATGTATACTCCAATCTGTTAATTTTTCATTTCTACCTCTAGTTTGCTTTTTTTATAACGGGAACACAGTTCATTGTATAAATGCTTACGCCCTTATCACCAAACCACGTACGAGTACATCTTAAATTCCATTTACCTTAATTTTTACCGGGGGATTTAGTTTGCAGTTTAAATTTAAATAGCTTTCATTCCTAACTCAGATTCCATTTGGAGATTTCAACGACACGTCGGTTGGAGATGCTGGCAACTACTCGTTTTCCAGCATTGGGAAGTGCAGTCTGTTCGCCAACGACACCGCAGGCAACAATTACACCACGGGCTGTGAGTACGGCTGGTGGTACAGCCATAACCCCGTCACTAACTCCATCGTTACTCAGGTAAGGAACAGTGCAAAGAGTTGAACCGTACTCGATGTTTGATGCATGGACCTAATTTTTAAAATAATACTATATTTTGGAAAGCCATATTAGATCAATTCAGAGAACGATTTTGAACGTCACTGAAACAATGTATTCTTGGGTTTGATAACATAAACAGGTCGTTGTGCATTGTTGTAACTCCAATAATGTTTGACGTCATTAAAGTTCAACAGGCCCAGAAAACAAAATCAAAATGTGGATATGATTACAAACATTTGCCCAATCCTGTTTAAAATACATAATTAAATGTATATCCTTCTTTAGTGGGACCTGGTTTGCGATAAGAACTTTCTGGCAGAGACAGCGCAAGCCATCTTCAGTTTTGGCATTCTTCTAGGCGATCTCCTCTTCGGATTCCTGGCTGATAGATACGGAAGAAGAAAGATATTTTTCGGGACATTGGCGGGCACGGCAGTGGTGGGGTCTGTGGCCATGTTCTCGCCAAATGTCTACATCTTCCTGGTGTTTCGCTTCTTTCTGGGTACATTGACAGTGGTAGGTGCATGGTGATATAATTATTTATTTATTTATTGGTTTCTTATATTGTTCGTTTATTTTGTTTATATATATATATATATATATATATATATATATATATATATATAATTCCATCTGGCTTGCTAAAGTTGTAACTTAACGAAAAATCAAAACTCTCATGTTCTGTTGTTTATTATTTGTACATGTTGTGAAAGAAAATAGCAAGTATCTCTCACTAGACCTTGACCGTGGCGAATATGGGGCAGTCGAGACACTTGCCTCTTCTGGAATTTCCCCAGAACCCAAAAGAACCGAGTTCTCGCACATGTACCTTGTCTGGTATTTCTCCAATTATATTTTACATGTTTCTTACATATTTTCCGTCTGCCCTCTACCAGGGCCACGTGACGGATTGGTAATTCACTAGACATTCACAGCTATGGCTCTGGCTAATTATTAACACTTTTCTCTACTGTAAAGAGAGGATGTTTGAAAAGAATTAATTCCATATTGCTGAGCTTCCCTCTGGTATACGGTATTTCTCGTCCTCCACCCACATTGTCCACTTTGTCCGATTTCGATCGAACTATTTTGGTCAAATTGTGAGAAAAAATCCTAAAGCTATGAATGAATACCAGTAGTTGCTCTATTGGAAATGACTAAACAAATTTAGTAATGATAGATTATATCTTTCTCCCTCAGGGATTCTGGCTCACCGGCTACCTTTTAATACTGGAAATCTTCCCGCCAAAACAGCGAACTTATTTCGGAATTCTGGCAGCATTTGGCTGGAACAGCGGTGCCCTCACCATGGCGTTGTTCGGCTACCTCATCCGGGACTGGAAAACACTACAGCTGGTGATATCGTTGCCTGCTCTGGCGGGGGTCTTGGTCTGGTGGTGTGTATTATATTAAGTGAAATGAATAGAATTTATTAAAACAGCTAATAAAATTATCCTTTGAATTTTATATGTTACTTGGTTGAGGAATTCTGAGGTTTTGATTCCAATAAATAAATAAATAAAATAATAAAGCCAAAATGGCCATTTCTTTGCAAAGTAAAAAAGCATATACAGAAAACAAGATATGAAATCCTTTGAATTTCTTGTTACATTTAACAGTGTACAAAAACTTGTATAACGGCATTTCCAATATATCTTGTTGATAGAAAAAATTGTTCAAGAACGCATTAAATTATTTACAGCTTTTAAAATTGTGACAATTTTTTTCTCTCTCTAGGTTTGTCCCGGAGTCTGTGCGTTGGTTGTTGGCAAGAGGCAGACAAGGGGAAGCACAGCAGCTGGTCTACAACATGGTCAAGTTCAACAATAAGAAACTGCCAGAAGATTTTCAGCTTTGTGTGCCAATCTCGAAAAAAGACAGAAGCGCCGGAGACGACTCAAACAACGAAGAGAAAACGTACACGACTCTTGATTTGTTCAGGACCCCCAAAATTCGACTGAGAATAATTTGCTGCACGATACTGTGGTGAGGCACGGATAGAAAAAGTGAATTTGTGTGTAGTTTGAGTCATTAAAAAGAGGTTTAGTCCACTCTCATATTTGAACCTCTCGTTCATCTTTTATCCACCGTCGTTCATCTTTTATTCCACCGTTCATATGTGGATATGCCATGAAAAAACCACTTAGATCTCAGCAGTTTAAAAAGAAATTAAAAATAAAAGAGAGAGAGAAACAAAAATGGTTTGATGTAAAGGTGACACAAGCTGCATCAATTGGAAAATAATCATCTTATTTCTCATTTGTTTTAGGATTGTGAATACACTAGTGTATTACGGCATCTCCTTCAGTGCACCCAGTATTAACGGCGACTTCTACCTCAACTTTTTCCTTCTAATGGTGATAGAAGTGCCTGCGGTCATGTTAGCTTTGTTACTAGCATGGAGGTAAGTTTGAGTGCGTGCGAGAATCTGCGTATGCAAGCCCCTGCGCCTGCGCTCTGGTCGAGTAATGAGTTAATGACAGCGTGGTGAATAAAAAAAAAATAAAGAAATGATGAGCGACGTGCATGAATGTGTCCTTTATCTGCATGGGTATCCGTTGTGATATTGAATTATTGATAACTGATTTACAACCATTCCTAATGCAAATTGTTTCAATCTACAGCGGAAAATACATAATTAAAATTACATTACACATAGCCTACAATTACGATACTCAGTACACCTTTTTTTTATCACTCCTGCTATAAAAACCAAATAATATTATTTGCTTAATGTATGCACTTGACAATTGATTAACTCAATTATATACCATATAAAATACTCTTAATGGATTATAATGTTAAATGTCTTCTATATTGTACAGAATAGGGCGCCGTATGCCGTTAATAGTATCCGGGATGCTGGCTGGAATCGCCTGTATCGTCACTCCTTTTATTCCAACGGACACAGGTTAACTGATCTCCCTTTGCTTCTGTTTACAATATAGTACTCATTAGGTCGGGATGTAATGATCTTTGTTTATCAAATAAGTTTTTTTTTCTTTTCAGTGATCTTACTTAAATTTTNGGGAGTAAATGACTAGGGTCATTTCACCTGGAATGAAAATCCAGGTCAATTGCCCCTAATCACTGGCCTTGTGTTGTAACTGTTACTTGCTCCCCCCGGGGCTCCTCTGCATCCCTCTGGAGCACCGTGAGGTAGATAGCTGGTAAATCATACCCCCCCTGTCTGTTCAGGTCTGGTTGTTTGGTCCTGATGTGTACAGCTTCTGCTATTTTTCTTTGGAATGTCCAGTTTTCCCTGTCTATCACTTTCAGGCTGTCAAAGTCTATGTGGTGACCTGGATGTTTGCAGGTATGTTCTCCAAGGGCTGATTTCCAGTTGTTTTTGGCCACTGAGTCTTTGTGTTCTTTCATTCTTGTGGCTAATGGTCTTCCTGTCTCGCCAATGTATTCTCCTTGGCCTGATGATGGTGACTGACAGTCACAGAAATATTGGAGGTAATACCCACATATTTTACAAGTTCTTGATAAAAAGAAAAACAGTAATTTGAATTTATACATACAGAGCTAATGAAACTGTTCTCTCAAAGATATATACGTGCTACTTCATTATCACTGCAACTTTGCCAATCGACAACAGGACGGTTTTGCTGACTTTCTCCAGTCTGTCATTCCCACCTCATTCCCATCTCAAAGTGTAAAGGTGTTCTCGTTATGTTAGGGCATTTTTGCAGTTTCTTTTGTCGTTAGAGTAACACAGCACAAACCTCTTTCTTCCTTATCTGATGGTCGTGTACAGACGTTTTTTTTTAATAAATTTCTTGGAAAATTAGCCTTTCCATCACTTTTGTTTTGCTTTTGACAATTAAAGCCAATGAATCCCACCGCTATCTGCTTTCGTGGAAACTGTTGTTTGCTGTCTTTCAACCTCGCAATTTCTGAAGAAAGCAAAATGTAAGCCACCATTAAAAAGACGGCAGTGCCATATCTTTATGGATTATTTGAACCGCTAAACAAATGGAATGCATAATCTTTAATGACACTGTCATTCTTCAGACATTTTCAGGTATAGAGTCAGAACTTTTTACCCTTGCCAAAATGAGATGCATTGGACAGCTTTTAAATATTTTGAAGGAATATTAAACTTGATTTCTTCTCAAATTTCTGTCTAATGCATCGTGAAAAATTATTACTCACCTACTTCTGTCTCAAAAAGAAGTAGGTTAACGGATCATTATAGTAACAAGAAAAAAATGGCGACATAAAAAGGTCCGTTGTCTTCCAGTTTAGGGAGGAAGTTGTGATTCTGTCTGGGTCCAAATGCCGCCTGCCAATGCCTTCAGCAGAAGAACAGAACCTGGTCTACAGGCCAGGTTGATATTCGTAAGGACAAAACCTTTACGAAATAACCGCTGGGGTTTTCATTCATTTGGACATGGTAACCGGGTTACATGTTGGTGTCATATCTTTAAGCCCAACTGGGTCCAGAATACCACCACCTGCCCGGCCTTTTGAACATGCCGAATTTGGTCAGTCAATCTAGCTGGGGAATCATCTAGAACCCACACTTATATCATGAAAGTGCGTTTTCACAAAATCTTTTTGTGGTGACTGTATTCAAAACAGGTCTGAACTACAAAGGAAAACTGTTTCAGCAGACGAATATACTACAGGCTTCCAACATAAACCAGCCTGGGTTAAGTAGTTCGACTTCTTAACATTAATAAGATTGGCCTAGTTCTGAAACAGATCGAATGCACTGCCGAGGTGCCAAGTAGCTTTCAGTCTTATTGGAAATGCAATCTGATTCTATAGTGTTCGTGGTATTCAAAAGAATCTTTCGCTTGCGCTGTTCAAACCAATTTGCCGTGAAAACAGCATTTCTGGCAAAATACCAAATGTTGTTACACAATGCTGCTTAGCACATTGCATTTTTCAATTTTTTGACGGCACCTGATTTTCACCGCTAGCTAGATCCGTTCACCTTTTCCCTTATTATAAAAGATTCATCTACATGCCACCTGCGTCCTCTCCAAAAAAAAAAAAAAAAAATGGTAGAGGATCTAAACTTACACCAATGGAATAGCAACTGGATCGAATGTAACGGCTTGACAAGATCTACCAAAAACATAGGCACAAATTGTCCACTTAAATTTCAGGACACTTTGTTCTATGTGTTCTGAAAGTAACGCATAAGTGTTGGCCCTAGAAATGTGACATGTTCGAAAAAATTCGAAATACACACATGTAATTTTTGACACTATACGTTGTCTATTTTGTTAAAGATGAATAACCCCTATTCTTATATGTAAAAAAAAAAAAAAAAAGAAAAAAACTTTCTATACTTATCAACTATTGATGAAGGTTAATCATACTCAGATGACTCACAGAGTTCCTGAAATGATGTATTTTGCTTGTGTCAGAACGAGAATGAATGAGAATGAGTAAAAGTGAAAATTCTGAGGCAATTTGCTTGAACAGGTAAAGCCATAGATTGCCAGATAGCTTTCAGTCTGTTCACGCAAACAGGTTCTCAAGAATGGGCAGGCCAATCCAAAAAAAAAAAATCATTCATTGATTTTTGACTTGTTGAATAACGGCATCAAACATCCCTTCTATTCCCATATTCATGAATCTACAGCGTATCTTGAACGGTTCTACTCTGGTGAGGCCGGTTGTTTTTTAAATGCTCCACCTTTTTAAGAGAATGGATAAAATATTTTCTCTACTTAAAAGCTGACTGTCAAAGTTATTCATGACTTTAACACCGATACAGACAATCATACATGTATAAATCTTACGAGACCCCCATTAAATATTGACGAAGGAAATGAAAGCAATGACAAGGCTTGTCAGGATTCAATATTTATCATCAAGAAAAATACATGTGCACAACTGAACCAAAAATGTCAAAAAATTAGGCTAACGGATCATATGTACAAAGCTCTAAGTAGTTTGAATAAGAACGGAAATTTCACTGTGCACAATTAACAAAATAACATCAACAGATAAAATACCATCATGTGAGCATATGACTTAGGCCTATCCTTTTGTTAGTCATTTTCTTTCATCAGTGCACGTTTATGTGTTGCCAAGTGACATTTCTCAAATCACCACTTGCAACATTCTACTGTTTTCTTCAAAAGAAAGTAAATCTAAATTTTGACACGAAAAGGAACTGGAGATTAGACGTTTTCTGCGTCGACTGAGTGTTCCAACTAATGCCCCCCACCCCCCCCCCCGAAAACGAAAGACAATACTAATGTGCTGCTAAAAAATCGTTATTACGTTAAACTTTATTCTTTTGACTTTATATTTGATAGCAAATATCTCTGTGAATGTGCTTGATTTTCGCTGCCATTTTTTCTTGACATTTGTAGTTCAATTGATTTATCTTCAATTGCATATTAAATGTTTGAACATTTCTATGACATTGCATGGAGCACTGCATAGTTTTGGCTTGTAAAAAGGAAATGAAAAATAATGAGACAACAAGAACATTCTTAACGGAATTTACAGCAGGTTTGTTTCATTAATTTTGTTTCGTTCAAAAATTCTTGGAATCATCGTTCTCTTGTTGCTTTTCTTTGCAAACAGAACATTCAAAAACACAAAAAATTTTGCTGATAAAAAAAATGAAGTGAGGAAGTAAGGAAATAGCCAGTTCGAGCCAGTTCGTGTGTATGGGCATGGCTTGCTAAAAAGCAAATTTGGACAATATTTTACATCTTTGATCTAACTTGAAAGCTACACTCGCTTCATTGAGCAGTGCGGCGAACCGCTTGGAGTAGGTCCCATGGATTGCCATGTGACATGGAGAGTTGGAAACCGTACAGAGATAACATCATGCAATTGCAAGAAAACCAACTAAACACTAATAAACAGGAAAACCAATTAAACTCTTACAAACATCACATCTTTTCGGAGAAAATTGCACTGTGGATAACATGCTTGATCTCATTTGGAGATTAAAACACAGATCCGTATAACTATTAGTTACAGCGCACGTTCTGCCACTTTATGGCCACGTTGTTCTTAGTCCATCTTTGCTTTCACGCATAGACCAACGTGCTTGCTTTTGATTCATAGATAAAGATGTTGTCTTGATCTACAAGGGTCTTTTAAAACTAATAAAATCTCGTAAATGAGCCAAAATGTTGCTTGGTAGTTGGATCATATATGATAATAATCAAACACAAGCCGAAAGCCTTTCATAACGTAAGCTTACGACTATCAACATCAGCTGCCACCAGCCACCCGTGAATAGGGACTAGAGGGGGGGGGGTCGATCTACCTGACAATGATAAGAGGGTCCTGGCCGCTATACCAAATGGCGGTCAGTGAGTTACAACATCTACTCACATCATCGATGAAGGCTTATGTCCAGGTAGGACCGAAGTGTTTCCTGACAACTCTACCTATCCCCGGTTTGCGTCCCGTCAATAAACTTACAATCAGTGAATATTCGAAGTTAGAACTGCCAAAAACCAGATCGAACTGGGTTGAATTTCCAATTGATAGTGGCTTGTATGATCAACTGGGATGCTCTTTATTCATAAATATCTTCATTTCTGGGAATGATTTATCGGTCTTGGGGGTTTCTAAACCCTTCTTCGATTAACAACGAGAACAACTAACATGCCAAATACTTTTTAATGATACTGAGAAAATCAAATGAGGGGAAATCAAATGCCTTGAATCAAACTTATATTGCTCCTATTATTTTCCGTGGATCGTCTTTTAATTTGCATCTTTTTCATTTTATCCATTCAATCTCTTATTTATTGGTCTACTTATTTATTAAAGGCATAATAACTCTTTGTATGAGACCTATATTTCACAATAAAAACCTCGTGAATAACTCATAGAAATATAATATATTCTGTTTTACCACAAAAACAGCAGTTATAGCTTTTATTCTGATATTTAAACTTGTCTTTAGACCACGTGACCTCCATTGATGTCTGTACTCTGTTAAAATCTCTTAAGAGATTTTAACAAAAAACCAAACTTTTTAGAAAAAAACCAGGGACTAACTTTGAATGTAAAAATGGATT